ATAAGGGCCAAGTAAGTGGTACCAAGAGATGAGGAACAGAGAGCAGATTCTAAAACTCCGGTCTACAGATGTGCATAGCCTTGGGCTCACCACAGTTGTTTTTGGTTTTTTGAGAAAGGTTTCTCTGTGTAGCCCTGGCTGTCCTGGGACTTGCCCTTTAGACCAGGCTGACCTTGAACACACAGAGATCTGCCTGCCTCTGCCTCCAGAGTGTTGGGATTAATGGTGTGCACCAGCACCACCCACCAGTGGACTCACCATTGTTAATGGTGACCAGATGGAAGCTAAGAATTAAAAACAGAACTGTATCCTTGATTGGGGTCACAGAGGGACACTAAAATTCAGGCCAACCTAGCTCAGGGAATTCATCTAACCTGGGAGAGACAGGGCATCTAGGTAAACAATCAGAATTACGTAGGAGAAGAGTTTTCAGACATTTTTTTTTTTCAAAAGGAGATTGTGAGGCATTGACCCTGATTTTAGCCCTGACTCTTATGAGTCTGAGGACATGAGAATATAGGGATGGACAGGTAGGACTCTATGGGATTTGAAGAAAGGCTATAAGTAATGCTGACGTTCGCTGTGCTGGGCCTTTGTGGCCAGCATTGCACAGACTCCTGGATCTGCTTCTTCCCTCACATCTTCTTTGTCGTCTTTCTGACTGTGTTCATATTCTGCCTGTGCTCGTGTTGTTCCAGAATGTTCTTTGCACCTTGCCTTCTTGTTATGCCCCAGCTTGTCCTGGTCATCTCTAGCATTGATTAGGACATTGTACTCTTAATTCTGTCTCCAGTGTTTCTCTCCTCCCTCGACCCTGGGTGAAGTTCCACATTCCGTTTGTACTGTGGGCACCTGGTGCTCTGCTGTGGGATTCACACTTCACTGTGTTGTCATGTGTCCACCTTTCTGTCCCATGAGAGGGTGAACTCTTGGAAGCCCAGCGCTCTGGTCTTCCCAGCTTTGAAGTTAGCTGTGCTTTGCACATTGGCTAGGTTGATATTTCAATACAGTGTCGATGAGCAGATCTGGACTCAGGGCACCACTGGGGATATAGGAGACTAGAATCTATGATGTTTGATAAAGATGTCAAACGTTATCACCACTATTTAGTACAACCGAACATCTCAAAAGTCTTCAAGTTTTACTGGCCTTTTCATGTCCGTCTTGCCCTCCCCCCTCCCCAGACATAATCAATGGCGTCTTCCTTGGAACTGTCTTGGTATGCTCCGTTAGGCTTTTTTTTTAAAGGGTGGCTTTATGCAAATCACCAGCTCTGTCTCAGTAACTACCTCCTTCACTAGACAGGGAGTCTTTTAGGAGTGGGACAGACAGCATCCTCTGGGTTCTTGGAATCCCTGTCAGCACTTTCTTTCTTTTTCCTTCTTCCCTTTCTCTCCTTCTGTTTCTTCCTCTCCCTCTGGTGGTTTGCATGAGATAGTCCCTCCCCATAGCCTTGGCCATTTGAATACCTGGTCCTAAGTTGGGAGTGCTGTTTGGGAAGGCTTAGGAAGCATGACCTTGTTGGAGGAGTATGTCACTGGAGGTGGAGCTTTCAGAGTTTAAATACTCACACCGTTTCTAGTTCGTTCTTTCTACTTCATGCTTGTGGTTCAAGATGCGAGGCTCTCAGCTTCCTGCTCTCTTCATCGTGACTTTGTTCTGCCGTGATGGATTCCAACCTTCTGGAAGAGAAAGGCCAATAAAATTCTTCCTTCTGTAAGATGTCTTGGTCATGGTGTTTATCACAGAACAGGAAAGTAACTAATGCACCCTTCCCTTCCCCCACCCTCCTTCTCTCTCTCTCTCTCTCTCTCTCTCTCTCTCTCTCTCTCTCTCTTTCATGTGTGTTTGTTTGGACAGAGGGACTCACTCTAGAGTCTCTCAACACTGGCTTTAAATTCATTCTGCAGTCCAGATTAGCCTTGAACACATGGTGATTCTCCCGCTTCAGTGTTTTAAATGCTGGAACTATAGGCATAAGCCACTATGCCCAGCTTGAATCAGTGATTTTGAACATTGATATTAGTTGATTTTCAGTTTCCTGTCCTCCTTGGGGTCAATATCTTTGTGATGGTTAATCTACACTGTCAGTGTGGCTGCATTTAGAATCATCTAGGAGATGCACTGTGTCTGGGCATGTCTGCAAAGGGAGAGGTTTAACTCAGGAGGGAATTCTCACCAGGAAAATGGATGGCATCGTCCCATAGGCTGGGCTCCCAGACTGGATAAGAAGAGGAAAGCAAGCTGAATACCAGCCTTGATCTCTCTCTCATTCTGACTGTGGACATGATGTGACCAGCGCTTCATGTTCCTGATACCACACCTTCCCCGCTGTGATGCACTGTGCCCTCAAATCGTGAGACAAAAGTCAACCTTTACTTCCTTGAGGGGCTTTTGTCACAGCAGCAAGAAAAGTGACCTAATATTGCCCTCACCTGTACCCACTTCCTCTTCCTGCCAGGCTCACAGGAGGCAGTAAAGCTCCTCCATCTTCCTTTATTGCATCCCTGGACTTGAGGAGGTCTGGGGATCTGGAGCTGTCCTCAATCACAGACAGCTGGCATATCCTTGCCACGGATAGATCAAGAAGCCTCCTTGATCATGGAAGAAGAGCCCTTAGGCTCAGGCTCTGTTACTAAATAGGAAAAACAGAAACCAGTGACTAGGGTTGGCAGAAGCAGGTGAGAGGCCATGAAATAGTCTGAGAAGAGGAGAGAGCTTTCAAGCACTGAGGGAGTCCCACAAGGACTTGTTAGGGTTTGGGCTGGGCCAGAAATATCCCTGATTGGGGAAGGATTAGGAAACAACTGAGCATGAATTGGGTGGACTTATTTAGATTGTGCAAAGCCTTGTGGGAGTCCCCTCTAGAGCTGACTTTGAATCAGTTTAGCTGGAAATCGAGGTGTTTGAACTTGAAATACATAGAGTGATCCAGCTTATTGACCCTGTTTTCCCTGGCTGCTGTTCGACTGATAGCTGCTGTTCCCCCTAACACACACACACACACACACACACACACACACACACACACACACACACACACAAAGTAGGCCTGAGTTGAACACTGGTGACAGGGGAAGGAAGGCCTCATTCCCTAGGCCTCAGACATGCTGGATCCCAGAGTCTTGGCCAACATGGAATTAGGTACTGGTAGGCATCCCCCAGGATACCCTAAGTGCCTTGCCAGAAGTCATTCAGACAGACAGTCTGGAGGAGACCTTGAGTCCTGTCACTCACTGTCTAGAATCTGTTCCCATTACTACAGAGGGTATATTTATAGACAAAAGGCTCCCTGAAGGTCATACAATGGCAGCTATCCATCCCCAGGGACTGGGAGTCCATGAATAGGGCCAAGGGAGATGATCAGACCAAGAAGATGCTGAAACTTAGGGGCTGGGGAGATGGTTCCATTGGCAAAGTGCTTGCCACCCAGGCCTGAGAACCTGAGTTCAGATCTCATGAACCCATATAAAAAGCTGATACAGCACTGTGCCTATAATCTCAGCTCTGGGGAATCGGATACAGGAGGCTCCCCAAGGCTCTCTGGCCAGTCAGTCTAGCCAAGATTGGTGAATTTCAGGTTCACTGAGAGATACTGTCTTAAAAATAAGATAAAGAACAATTGAGGAGGGGCTGGAGAGACGGCTCAGCGTCATCTTGTTGCTCTTGCAGAGGACCCAGGTTTGGTTCCCAACATCCACACGGCAGTTAACAGTCTGTGACTGCAGTTACAGAAGGTCTGATCCCTCTTCTGGCCTCTGCAGGCAGGCCCTGCACACTTGTGGTACACAGATATACATGCAGGCAAAACGCCATACACATGGAATAAAAATAAATCAACCTAAAACATAGTAACAATTGAGAAAGACACTTAACATCTGCCTCTGGTTTCTGCAAATACATGGACACATATTCACATGTGCCTGCACACACATGCACACAGGCATGCGCAAATGAGCATACACACACGCATGCACAGGCTAGCTCCTTCTGGATCCAGCAGTTTCTTAGCTATACTATTGCTGTGTGCTAAGGGTGTGCTCACGACAAGCAGGCTTGGTCCTTGTGTGGTGTCGTCACCCCCCCCCCCCCCTTTTACTTCTCTCCTCCCTCCCTCTTTCTCCAGACACCGGATCTGCTGGTGCCTCGATTTTGGACTTTCCGTCTCTAGAACTGTGGGAAGTCATCTCCCCCCCCACCTCCCCACAGCCTAAGGGAAATACAGACAGAAGGAAAAAATGGCAGTGCCGCAATCTGCTGTCTCAGGTCAACTCACTGTCAGTTTACTTTATGTTCCTCTCAGTTTTCCACGGCGTCGGTAGGAACTCTAGGGGCAAAGGGCTGCCCCACGGTGAGCCTCCTAAGGCCTGCAGCTAGACTCAAGGTGAATGACAGACAAATACTTACTGATTTACTGCTTGAGGTCACCCCGATTTGCATGTGAAGACAGATAGATACCAAAATCGGGCCTTGATTTTGTCATAGCAAGTGCTAGGCACGATTTGTCTCTCCCTGGGTTCCAGTTAGGTCACCGAGGCTCCTTCTGACACTAAAGATCCATGAAGAGCCATACCCTCCCTGGCTTTTCTCCCTACTTCTCCTTTTTTTGATTGAGACAGGGTCTCCTATAGCTCAGGCTGCCCTCCAGCTTACTTTGTGGTTGAACTTTTAGTCTTCCTGCCTCTGCTTCCTGACTGCTGGGATTACTGGCACAGGCCACCATGTTGGGTTTTATGTGGTGTCACTTAGAGAGCTTTAAATGGCATGCTTTATTTCTTTCTCTTTTTTTAAAGGTAGTTTTTAGAATTACATTTATTTATTTAATAAGCGGGAGTGTGCCCCAGTGCTTGAGTGGAGGTCAGAGGACAATCGATAGGGTCCATTTTTTTCCTTCTACCATATGGGTCTTAAGGATCAAACTCAGGATCAGTTTTGGTGGCAAGTACCTTTACCCGGTGAGCCATTGCGCTGGCCCTGACACACTTCATTTCTTATTCCAGACCCAGTGTACTGAGTCTTCGTTTTGTAAAAAGAAGCCTCATTCTCTTCTTGTCTTCCACCTCTGCCTCCTTCCTTCCCTTCAAGGACAGCTGCACGTCATTCATTAACCACTTCAAATCTCCCCATGGCCTCTCTATATGTGGATTCGATAAGCTTCAAACTGGTAAGCCTCATACACGTTATTATGGTCATGAAAACATGTTGACTGATGTGCAAACTACTGGCCTGGGTTGTATTCTCTGTGGACCCACTAATATCACTACCACTTTGCTGTTCACTGGAGGCTTCAACTCGCCATTTGCCAAATGGATTCTTTTCTCCATATTCTTTATATCTCAGTCATGGCATTTGTATACTCAAAGCCCACTTCTCTTGGGCTTAATTCCCAGAACTTTTGTGACTCTGCCCTCCTGGATGGGATTTGGTCCATCTTCTGAGCCCATGCCTTCACTCTTGTTTGGTACCACTATTATTTTCTGGGTTCTGTCTTCAAGGAGTGTCCCAAAGGGATTGTGACCAGTGGGGTTGAACAATGGCCACTCAAAAGTGCCTGTTCACTCCTAACCTGGGAATAGAGTCTTGGGCTCATGTATTTGAACATTTGGTGGCACTGTTTGGGGAAGTTAAAGAACCTTTAGAGGGTGGAGACTTGTTGGAAGAAATATGCCACTGAGAGCAGCTTTGAGGGTTCACAGTCTTCCCCTACTTCCTGTTATTGTTCCCTGCTTCCTGTGTGCACAGGAAATGTGATCTCTCAGCTTCCTGCTCCTACTGTCTTACCTTTGCTGCCATTATGCCTCTGGACTGTAAGTAAAAATCAACCCCTTTCCCTTAAGTTACTTGTGGTCGTGATATTTTTCACAGCAACAGAGAAGTAACAAAAACACATCCCTTTACTCATTAGGATGGCTGCCATTTTAAAAACAAAGCCAGGTGTGGTGACACACGCCTTCAGTCCTAGCCCTTGGGAGGCAGAGGCAGGTGGATCTCTAGGGAGTTTGAGTGGTCTACAGAGTGAGTTCCAGGCAAGCATACATAGTGAGACCCTGTTTCAACAAACAAACAAACAAAAAATAAAAACCTATCCAGAAAACAGCGAGCGTAGTTAAGGTTGTAGAGAAATTATGAGCCCGGCGCACTGGTGAGAACGTGAAATGGGTACTGCTATGAAAATCAGTGTGGCAATTCCCCCAAAAATGGGAACCCAGAATTGGCATGTAATTCAAGTCTACTCATAGGTACATAGTTGAAATCAGTATCATGAGGAAATGTTTGTGCACATATGTTCATAGCAGAATTAGTCACAATAGCTAAAACATGGAGGCAATCCAAGTTTTGATCAACAGATTAATGATTAAGCCAAATGTGGTATATTGTGATGTTCTTCAAGTCAGAATGGGGCCATGCCCCCATACATGCACTGCAGATTGAGGCCATCAGACATCAAAAGCAAATTCAGCATGTCCAGCCTATAAACAGAGCTTAGCAACACGGTGTACTGTGGAGTGTTGGTTGTTTACCCACACTATAACCTGGCTGACCAGGAATTACAGCTCATGGCTGCTGCCCAGCATGACAAAGAGAATATTAGATCACAAATCACTAGCCTGGAAAAAAAGAAAACAAAACAAAATAATCCCCAAATCCCACAATGCTGTTTCTACCATTATTAAGATGAAATCTTAAGTCAGGGGCTGTTTGTATATACATGGAAAAGGCCGCACCGTCACATGCTGCAGGTGGATAGGGCTTGAGGGCATTGGGCTACTTGAACTAGCCAATCCCAAGAGAGGTCTACTGTACTGCTCCACTTACACAAGACATTTTTGAGGAGTCAGAAATTACAGAGACAGACAGGGAGAAAGTGTTTGCCAAGGGAGAGAGACTTGGAAGTTGTTCAGCGGATAGAGTTTTGGCTTTACCAGATAAAGAGAGGGGTGGAGAGGAATGCCAAAGACGGTGACAACAGTTGACATTGAACTGTGTGCTTAAACATGGTTAAGACGGTATGGCTAGACATTTTTAGATTTATTTCATTTATGGGTATGAGTGTTTTACCTACATGTACATATGCACACCAGTGCATTCCTGGTGTTCTTGGAGGTCAGAAGATGTTATTGGATCCCCTAAAACTGGAGTTATAGATGACTGTGAGCCACCATGTAGGTGCTGAGATTCAAATCTGGATCCTGGGCCAGAGCAAGTGCTCTTAACCACTGAGCCATCTTGCCAGCCCCAACATGATGTATTTTTCACATTGATTGATTGATTGATTGATTGATTGATTGTGTGTGTGTGTGTGTGTGTGTGTGTGTGTGTGTGTTCGCACACACGGGGGCCACACACACATGTTTGTATATGTAAAGGACAGAGGACAGCTTGAGTCAGTTGATTCTCCCTTTCCACACCATGAGGCTACCAGGGATTGAATTCAGATCAACAGCTTTGGTAGCAGCCTCCTTTACCCACTGACCTATCTCACCAGCCCAGGATGGGAACATTGGTTAAGTGTGTTTCACTCCAAGTTTTAAAAACTGAAAAGGAGAATTTCCTCCAAGTTTTGGATTGCAGAGCAGTCCTGGTTGCAGTTGGTCTGCTCACAGTAGGAGGGGGGAGCTGGAGTGGACGGACTGTGTTTAGTACACAGGCATTCATCCGTCCTAGGACCACTCCCCACACCTGTGCATAGGGTTTCCTGCATTCTCGAAGTCTAGACTGAAAGCTTTCAGGCCCTGCAGACCCCTTCACCTGTACCGTAGGTTGGCCTGCCTGTGTTCTCCCTCATCAGTCACGGCTTGTGTTAGTTACGTCTGACTAATTGGGATTAAATGCCCATAGAACAACTTCAGAGGAAGAGCTCCTTCGACTCCCAGTTTCAGCGATTTCAGCCCAGGGTCCTTGCTTCCCATCCATTTCCTGGTGAGACAAAGTATCTTGGTGGGGGTGTGTGGAGGAGGAGGAAGCTGTTCTCCTCATGGCAGACAGGAAACAGAGGGAATCAAGTAGAAGTTGCAAGTGAGGAACAAACTGGGGACCAGGAACAGTCTTTGGAACACCTTGGGTGACCGACTTCCTTCAGCTAAGTCCCATTGTCATTGGTGGATGTGGGATCTCTGCTAACGCTGGTTCAACCTTTCTTTCTTTTTTTTTTTTGGTGGGGGGCTTTCCGAGACAGGGCTTCTCTGTGTAGTTTTGGTGCCTGTCCTGGATCTCTCTCTATAGACCAGGCTGGTCTTGAACTCACAGAGATCCACCTGCCTCTGCCTCCCGAGTGCTGGGCTTAAAGGTGTGTGCCACCGCCTCCCAGCCTCCTCACCCTTTCTTAATTGTCCAGAACCTCCTTCAAAAGTGCCACCTACTGGGGACTTAGAACTCAATACATGAGCCTGTCAGGACATTTGATGTTCGGACTATAACACCACTGTTTCGTTTGCATTATGTCTTCCAGCCACGCTTGGCGCTCTTCTCATTTCTTGGCCTTGTGCTTGTACCTTTCATTCTCTTTACCTTTTCATGAGATTCTGAAAGGGAAGGAGTTAGTCATGTGTGCTGGTCACTTCCTCAACTATCCAACCAACAGAGGTATGAGCTTTGTGTAGAAATGACGATTCTCTGGATTTTCAACTGATTCCAGATGCAAAGACTTTGGGTTTATTTTACTCAAGGGCTGGGAGGAATCTTAAACTAGCAAAGAAATCCCCAAATCTTCTAGGTGGAAATGTGGGCCTTAATTAATAAACTCTACCTCATACTTGTATCAGTCATAGTTCCGCCAGAGAAGCAAAGCCACTAGATATTTGTGTGTTTAATTATCTTACATAACTGTGGGAGATGTCTTTGTGTTTGATCTTGGGGCAGGTATATAAATGTGAGGGTCAAGACAAGAGCGTACCCAGAAGTCTGAGCTGGTATCCATGGGGATGGGCCAGATCTATGCCAGCTCTTGCTGCCTTTGACTTTGTGGATCTCTCACAGGAGAAACAAGTGTGCTTTGTCACAGAGCTAAGTATATATCTTGTCCAGGATTCAGAGAAGCTGGATGAAGGTCTGAGGGAGGGTTGGACATCCTCAGACTAACTGCTGTCCCATGATACCATCTGAGCCAGCAGGTAAGTGATGATGAGTGGGAATGGACTGGTCTCCTGCAGCAACTTGATAAACATAAGACTCCACCTTCTCCATCTGGGCATATGCTCCATCTGCGAGCTTACAGGGAAAGGGATTATAACAACCAGCTCAGACTGGTCACACTGGCACATTACAGAGACTTCCAGAAAAGAAAAATTACACTTAGAGAGATGACATACATTATTGGAAGCTTGATAATTCTTTCAGTGGCAGAACTTGGATGAGAAGCCAGGACTCTTGATTCCAGATTCCAGTGTCTTTTCAGACTTTCATCCCCATCATAGATATGACACATCCTTATTAAAAACAATTTGAATAACAGGAAAACGAAGGTAACAACATTCAACTGGTCCTGGTATTTTAGCTTAGCCCCTCCTGTCCCCTCTCTAGGCATAACTTTATTTGGATAAGTATGCTACATATGTATACAGATATATTTTGTTATGCATTAAAATCTTTATCAGCCCAGTCAGTACTAATTCACTTAATCATTTGTTTAAAACAACAACAACAAAACCCCAAACAACAGTGATAACATTGAACTGGGCCTTGTGGCACAGGCCTAGAATCCCAGCTATTAGGGAGGCTGGGGCAGGAGGGCCACAAGTTTCAGGGCTGCCTGATCTATAGAATGAGTTGAAGGCTGGGGTAGGTAGTTTAGTGGTAGGTGCCTACGTAGCAAGCACGGGGCCCTGGTTAAGTCTCCAAGAAAGAAGAGGAAAAGACAAAACAATGCAAAAAGAAATAGACTTTAAGTGCGAGGCTGAGGCAGGAGAATTTGAGGCCAACATGGGCTACACAGAGAAGACCCCGTGTCAACAAACAAACAGGTAAAAACAAAAGACATTAAGGCTACTGCTATTGTTTTGTATTTTAGTAATATAAATAATGATCTGTGCCCTTGTGCATACATTCTGATTTCTATTTTATCATTAGAATCTAAAAATTGGAAGCATTTATTCTGAAATTGCTCTCACCAAAGATTATATCAATTTATCTGAAATGTACCAGAATATCTGTCCTTCTAAATCTTGA